CTCCATTGCACGCCGAACCCGCCGCCGGCCAGATCCACCTCCTAGCCACCGTCCCAGACCCGCAGCTGCCTCCCCCTGAACTGCACTGCACGTCCATCTGGCCGGCATCCTCCCCAGTCCCCACCCCCAGCGGTATGTTGCTTGGCTGCTTACGGTGGAAATGCGTGTGGTGGATTGCTGCGGGGAGTCGTCATTGCTGATGCTAGATTGCTGTGCGCTGTCGTCATTGCTTATGGTGGAAATGCATTTTGGAGGTTTGGCGATTAGTCTTGCATGATTACAAACTCCATGATTGCTTATTACTACTACCTCCGTTCTTAAATATTTGTCTTTCTAGAGGTTTCAAATGGTGACTACATACGGAGCAAAATGAGTGAATCTACACTTTAAAATATGTCTATATACATCCGTATGTGGTGACCATTTAAAATCTCTAGAAAGACAAATATTTAGGAACGGAGGGAGTAGTAATTTTGTAGTGTGATGTGATGGGTCAATGTAGAGTTGGTTGATGAATTGTAGAGTTGGAACAGCTCTTCCATGTTAGAAATTGATTTGGCAACAGCGCAATGCTTTTTGTAGTTATTAGTGCGATATGGTTGGTCCTTGTGTTGGTTCAAGAATTATTTTTTTGTTTTTTGATGCTCAAGGATTGATTGTGCAGGGCTATGCACAGTGTGTTGCTCGATTGTTGTCCAACAACTTTTTGCTTCATGCAACTTCATGAGTTCTGTAACTGGAATCGAACAGATGAAGGAGGGCAATCTGGGATGCATATCACACCAAGATCTTTTGCGAAATAGGCCAACATGAAACGACTGCTGGCAATAGCTAGTCTGGGTGTGTGCTTGGGTGCCGAAGGTTGCAAGAACCCTGAGCTCAAATTCTAGGATAGAGCTGGGCAGAGGTATGTGAAGAAGCGCTTCAAGCACAGATCGGACTCGTTAAAGCAGTACAGAAGATAGATGGAACCCAAATCTTTGACGGTTATTGGGTCGGATCCTGGAAGAGAAATCACTGGGCCGATGATGGTTGGTGGAAGAATCACATTGCAGTAATGTCACACCAGGATCGTAATTCATTTCCCATTATTTATCCTTTTTCGTGTATTATGAACCGACTCATTGATATTTTGCTGTTATTTTCAGAGAACCCCAGAGCATGCCAAGTTCCACATGGGCCACGGCCAACTTGACTTTGTTGCATGTTCTATTCAGGACAGAAAATGCCACCGGTGAATCATCCATTGTACCTGGAGAGGACTTAGGAAGACAATGGAGGATGATACTCCAACCAGGATTACTGACGGGTCAGACGACGATGCACTTGCTGCATTTGCTGAAGCATCTTCTTGCAACAAGGCTCCTCCTGCCACGGTTCTGAACCTGAAGGAAGACTTGATTACATGATGACACCAGCATATGTGTGCAACTTTGCTCTAGAAATTGATTGTCATATCTTTGTTCTGCTCCTGAATATTTGAATGAATGGGTGTTGTCAAGCATCACGTGCACATTTCTCCAATGTCATACAAATGCATTAATTAACCAGCAGTTCTTATGTACACCGTCAGTTCCAAGACTCTGTTGGCAAAATATAACGAAATCAAACCCTAGGGCTTACTTCGTATACATAGGTTCTTGATTTCTTTCAGCTCCCACAACAAAGGAATATGCTTGACCATTTCGGCGTATTATAAAGAAATTGCATCGCCAAAGGATTTTGGACTAAGTTGTTTTTGTTGGACAGATAGCTGAGCAATGATCTAGACCGAGTATTATCCGGTAGAAAATGAACTGAAACCGGGTCGCTGTGTTTATCTCTTGCAGTGTTCAGGCTAAACAAGTATCTTGACTTGCATGAGAACGAATGGGACAATTCAACTCAAAAGCTTGAGAGGAACCGTTCTGATGGATACTCCTTGACCAGACAAGTCTGCTAGTTGATACAGCTGTCAGCCTGCCTAGCAGAGAGACTGATTTGATGGACACACTTCTCTACTTGTCTTTGAAATCTGAAATGATAAATTATACTTGACATGTACATATATCAGAAATAAACTGACTGAACTTCTTGAATTTATCAGCTTAAGCTGTATCAGAATTCAAAAGTCGGTGCGGGCGAAAAAAAAAAGTTACCATGATGATCACCGCTCACAATGTTGACCAACGGTGCAATAATATGTACTACTTCACCTGTACATATATCTGAAATAAACTTACTGAACCTCTTGGATTTATCAACTCTATCAGAATTCAGAAGTCCGCCGACAAAAAAGAAAGTTGCCATGATGGTCGCAGCTCACAATATTGACCGACGGTGCAATAATATGTACTTGACCTGTACATATATATCGGAAATAAAGTTAATCAGCTTCTTGAATTTATCAACTTCAGTGGTAACAGAATTCAAAAAGTCTATGTTGACAAAAAATGTAACATGATGGTCACAACTACAATTTTGACCAACAGTGCAATAATATAAATGAGCCGGGGAGCGAACTAAAGATAACTTGATCTACCAGCGGATGTGGTCAATGGCTGATCCCGTTGTGTTTTTTGTACAACGGAAAATTGTTGAAAATTTCTTAGGTCGACCTGTCAGATCATTAGCGGTTGTTAAGTTGCCCCTTGATAGCCTGGAAAGGCCAAAAGTCTGAGCTTACTTTAACATTACAGTTATCTCCAAAACAGTCAACGTCACACCTGACTGATGCTGACAAAATTATATGACTACTGAGGCGCGAAAGTAGACATTTCACAAGAAAATTCTGTAAACATAAAGCAGACATGGGTTTTCTTCCTTTTACTTTGGAGGAAAAACTGGATTTCCGTGCCTTGCATACGATAAAAACAAACAATGCTGGTAAATAAAGCACAAGTACTACAACCACTGAATCTAAAGTGTACTAGTCACTAGAATACCGACTTTATCCTTTTCAAGTGAATAATGTACAGTAAGCATTTTTTTAAATTATGTTTATAAATGTAGGCAAGTTATGCAATGTAATGATGATAATTACCCAAATGCCCTCATTTGTTATGTCTCCCTCGTGTGCATTTGTTTATTACAAGCCACACAAATCATCCTCTCTCGTCTTCGCAAGGCAATTATAATCACAGGGCACTTGTGTCATTTCTGCTCAAAGATATCCGAATTTTATCACCTTGTTAATTTCTGTGGCCTGCGTGAGTCGACGAAGGGGAATGTATCTTGGTCACGCTGATTACTTTCTCCGATACACAGTGAGATGTACATCTCAGTTTGATGATCAGAAAGTAGTATGATCCAACGCATACCTTTTCAGATGAGGTTGGGTGGCTCTTCTCATCCTCTTTTTCAACCTATATATTGTCTCGATCATTGAATTGTCAATGGGAAAAACCAGCATGTCAAACTGCAATTAAAGTCAGGCTTGAGGAAGCACCATTCTGGAAGGAAAACAGGAGCATTCAGGAACCATTCCCACTGCGTGCCATGAAACACAAAAGTTGTTATTATAATCCACCATGAGGTGAAATACAAGCGTGCAGCCTACCTCACTTAATTACTGTGCCATGAAATTTCTGTTATATCTCACTAATGTAAACTGAAGACTAACTATGGGAGACAAAGTAGACATATTTCTTTTCTTAAAGAGCAGGTCGTTTTCAAGTCACAGTGTTTAGTTTATGCCTGATGAACAGTGAACACGGTGTGCGACTCGATAACCGGTGGACCGGTCTCCGACTATAGCAATACTAAAGTCAGGACACGGGCATTAAGAATAAGCCTATAATGAAGAGATAAATAAGCATTTTTTCCCCAATGCTTGGTCATCTTTTTGTTTCCTGATGATGGGAGCTGAGGACAAGTGTTTCTTTCCTTGCTACTTCCTAAGTTGCAACCAGCTCATCTCTCCAAGGTGAGAACAGGCCAGGTCAATCCCAGTGGGACCTTTGAGTCCTCTGCCTGGACTAGTATATATAGGGAGCATATTGTAGCACCCTTTTGCTTCTGAAGCTAGGAGATACATGTGCTCTGCTCCTCATACCACCATCATCCAGGACTTATATTACACGCTCTTGGCTCTTCATACACACTGCAGCACATCACAGTGGAGTTTCCACCGAACAACTGCGCCTAATCCTTGGGTAGGTTCAGTTTCTCTCCTTTTCTCCTTTTTGCAGAATCTACCCAATTACCCTGGATTTCCTCCGAGCAACTGCGCCTAATCCTTGGGTGAGTTTAGTTTCTTGGTTTCCTTTTCTCCCTTTTGCTGAAACTACCCGATTTCCCTGGTTAGATTTGTTTTGAGAAAATCAGTTGTTCTAATTTTTTGGCTTTTGTGTTGCAAATCCATCCAGGGCTGTTTCTCATGAAAACATTTGATTCGCTTCGAGTTCCTTCAGTTGTTGTGTTTCTTTAACCATCAAGTTCATCTGATTCTGTTAGAAGATCTCAGTTGTTGCCTGTTGAACATTTGAAGTTCAGGGATCATGCTGAAAATGGTTTCCCCCTGTATAGGGACTTTCTTTTCCCATTGATTTTGTTGTTCAGAAGCAGAGTTCTTCACACAAAATATTCTTCATATGTCCACTAACTATAACCAGCTTACTTAATTTTGTCATTATCTTTTCCCCCTAAGTATGCATAGTGTATTTTTATTTTCTTTTCCTGCTGCGCCTCAGAGGAAGAAGAAACATACCAGAACTATATGTTTGAGTTATGAGCGGAGTGCCACGTGTCGTGTCATTTTCCTCTCTTAAGAGGACATCTTACCAGCTTAGCTTCTTTGGAGTTAAACCAGAAATATATAACTAGCTTCATTTTATGTAGGAAGTTTAAGAGTGAGTTTTTTTTCTGCGGCTGAAAGTAAAAGGAAAAACAATTCCAGTGAGATACTTACATAATTTATTTGGCTATTCTTCTTTACCCTCAGGTTCTTATCGAACTCCTCTTTGCATGAGCTTCTGAACACATATCTGAAGCTTCTAAGAAGCAAATCCCATACTCTAGCAATGACTTGCTTTCGTTTGCTCTGGTGGAAGAAAAAATCCAGAAGCCAAATTGTACAGCAGGACTTAGGTAAACCCTGCATATCTCATTTAACTTTTGTTCTTCTGAAGCATCCTAAAACCCTTCTGACTCATCCTATTCTGTTAAGACATACCACTCCATGGCAACGTGAAGATATACTCCTCCAAGGAGCTCAAAAGGGCCACAAGGAATTTCTGCTCAGGAAACAAACTTGGACAAGGTTCTTTCGGCTGCGTTTACCTGGTAGGTTTAGTAGCCAGTTTGGCAGTTTGCACCATATAAGCTTTGACATTTTCAAGTTCAAACACCACAATCTCTTTATCCCGTAACATATTGTATGCACCAATCAGTCACTCCAAATAATCCTGAATTATTTGGAAGCGGCAGGTTATACTCTTCCTGCTGTAGTGATTACCGTCACTGTAGCACTTGGACCAGCTATCAAAATTCAAACACTAGTGTTTCATGAGTGCTCAGGCTCGGGTCTAAATTATGCAGGGAAAGCTGAAGAATGGTCAAAAAGTTGCCATCAAGGTACTCTCCTCTGAGTCAAAGCAAGGAACAAGGGAGTTCTTGAATGAACTGAGTGTCATATCCAGCATAACCCATCACAACCTCGTTAAACTGCACGGCTGCTGCGTCGATGGAGGTCAGAAAATGCTGGTCTACAATTATCTGGAGAACAACAGCCTTGCAAGGACCCTCTTTGGTATGTTGAACCAAATTTCTATTTTCCTCAGAACTTTAAATCGCTGGTAAATTCATTCTCAGAACCCCCTGGTTTGTCATGATGTTCTTCAGGCAATGCCCACAGTAGTATCCGGTTTGACTGGAGCACAAGGGCGAAGATCTGCATTGGTGTCGCCGACGGTCTCACATATCTGCATGAAGAAATCCGGCCGCATATCGTCCACCGTGACATCAAGGCGAGTAACATTCTGCTTGACAAGGACCTGAGCCCCAAAATATCGGATTTCGGGCTAGCAAAGCTCTTCCCAGGCAACATGACGCATATCAGCACGAGGGTTGCAGGAACATTGTAAGCAAAGTGACACCTGTTGCTGCTCTCATTTAACCTTGCATATATTGATATATACTGTACTGTGTGGTTAAGACAAGTTGACATATGCTCATTTCTCAGAGGGTATCTGGCACCGGAGTATGCAATCCGAGGGCAGCTGACAAAGAAGGCTGATGTGTACAGCTTTGGGGTTCTGCTGCTGGAGATTGTCAGTGGCAGGTGGCACACTGACCCCAGATTGCCTCTCCAAGATCAGTTCCTCCTAGAAACGGTAAAGAACAATTTCAATAACAATATCTACTGAATTATGATTCTCTAGAAAGTTCAAAAATATATATCAGGAAAAACAAATATTTTCTGTCTAGTACAATAGTATGGAATACAGCTATGATAGATCGAAGATGCTCCACATTAGACCATGAGAACCATGCCAGACATATACCTACTATGTGCACATGGTTGAACAATTTAGATAACCACAAGTAGATGCGCATAATATACTTGCCACAGTTGGAAGTATTCTTTATTTTTTGAAGAGGAAATACAGTTGGAAGTATTCTGAAGGAAAGTACCAGGAAGTTTCCTCTCTGTCCTGAAAATTAATATTTTTGGTAGTACTGCCAGCTTTCATTGTCTTATCTTGAGATTATTTTTTATTGGCCCACTCGTTCTGGATTTGTTTCTGAAAATGTTTTCTATGCCACTTGCATTGACTGGTGTTCTCATTCTTAGGACATATCTGTTAGCTTTTGTCCAATTATTATATGCACCTGCTATTGCATTGCAAAACAGCGATTTATGAGAGATCTTTAATCTCTTATCCTGCAAAGAGAAGTCAAAAGGTTCTATTTCAAAAATAGCTGAAGCATTGTTTCTTGACATTGTCAGTAGTAGATTAAAGAATATAAATCAGAAATCCCCACTTGTTTTTCCCAGGCTTGGACACTCTACGAGTCTGGTGATCTTGGGAGCATCATCGACAGGACCTTAAAAGATGATTTCAGCACCGACGAAGCTCATAAGTTTTTGAAAATAGGACTTCTGTGCACCCAGGATAGCCCCAAGGTCAGGCCCTCCATGTCAACAGTCGCCAAGATGCTAAAGGGTGAGTGTGCCGTCAGCGACAAGATCATGAGGCCAGGCCTGATCACAGATGTCATGGACCTGAAAGTCAGAACAATCGAGCCTGCTCTTCAGTTAAGTGTGTCTCCACCAATGTCTCCACTGGATAACCACTCACTGGTGTCTAACCTTGCATTCGCTGGTAGCACTGTGATAAGGGACAGCCCCTAATGACAAGTTAAAAAGGCACATGAAGGAGAATATGCTCAGGCAACAATGGCTGTAAATTGGAGGGATGACGAAAAACATGTCAAGAGAGGCATTTGATTTCGTTTTGTGTTTCTGGATTGCTTAGATATACTGTTAGTTGTTTGTATATGTTGCATCTGAGCTTTTGGTGATCAACAACTGAAGACCCTCAGTGTCCTGTGGAGCATGGTTTATAGGTGAAGGAAGAAGAGCACAGCTACACCAGGCACCCAAGCAGGGAGTGCTGGACTTACAGAGATTTGCTAGTTAGCACCTTTCCTAAGTTAAGCAAGCCAGGGTTACCTTTTTTTGTGTGCACAGAAATACTGTAGTAGGTACAATGTTTAGTTAAGTATACAGTACAAATCTCACACGGATAATGACATGACTTGGATCTGCATGAAAGACCTGTGAAAGTTCCATTCTGAAATGCCAATAATTCAAACTGACAATGTCAAATATTTCAATCAAATACGTCAGCAGATTATTGAGGATGATTGTAGCAATAAAATGTAAACTGAAACAAGTGAAGATATCTAGGTACAGAAGTGATTTAAAAATATATCTTACCGAACGAGGCCTTGAATCTAAGAGGAACCGTGGAACTGCAGTTCCAAAAACTAACATCCTTAAGAGGAAGCTCAACACTGAAAGCAGGGATTGACAAAAGAACCTTCAAAACACTGAAAGCACTATCAAATTAGTCATGATAAAACTTCACAACATTCCATGTGAAATCACCTTGTATAGGAATGGTTTCCGCAGCTTGAACAGTACAAGTTAAACCAAACAAACAGTCTGGGTAAGCCCGAGTTAAACAAAAGTACTTGCTGTCATTAAAAAAAATTGCACCACAGTAATAACCCAACCATGTCGTCTTAACAGTTGAACATGGTATCACAGCAAAAACTTTCATCCATCAAACTCTGTAAACAAATGTAAGACGTTTTAGGTCACTAGTACATACTGGAGATTCCTGAATCTTTAACACATAATGACAAAAGTTAGATGCACACTAATAGTCCTAGTGGGGGACATTCTGATAATGTCAGGAAACACAGCAAGAAATGAACTTAACAAAACAACAGGAAACCTCAAGAAATAAACAAATACGGAGTATATATCAACGTACAACTAGAAATAGATCTGCATAGATTATTCATTCTTGGGCAGCAATAACTGAGTTCCATGTATATACATGTAGAAAATCACATTCAGACACATCACCAGAAACTTTGTTCTTTAGTAACTAATTCTACAGAAATGCTCTCAAAAGCCACATTCTGAAGACTTCTACATGGCGGGAAAAATAGAAATGAAATGAAATTTCAAGCTTAGATGATTTGCTAGTGTGATCTTGCCATCCGGTTCATTTCCAGCAGTTGTGTTAGAGACACAGAACTCCATCTATCTGTTCCCTCTTTAAGTTGCGCATAGAGTAGTCGCTTGACAGAGTCTATGAAGATACTCACGGTGCCAAATTCATACACTGGCTTGCCATTATAGGATTTATTAACTCTAGGCATAAACAGCAAACCTTGGTCAGACGCATATGCCTGAATAGACTCCTTGAAGCTCATATCTCCCATGACTGCTCCTGGCACTGAATGATAAGCTGGGTATTGCGATGCTTGCTGTGCTGCATCATATTTCCACTTCTCTGTTGCTCTCAAGTAGCCCACATCTTCCCTTGCCCCTGGCTGCACCAACTCAACCCCTTCAGCAGCTTGGTTCATCATCTCAAGACCAGCCGTTAGAAGCATCTGTATGCGCTCATTGGCGAGTAACTCTGGTGGGAAAAGACCCCTCCAGTCCTTGTACCAGTTTGTGATCTCATTGGAATCAGGATTCGGTGAACACAACCAATGGTAGAGAACCTGCTGCCACTTGCTAAAGAAATCAACTTCCAACATATGGACCATATGGTGTACTGGTACAGCAGAAGCCCAAATCATAACCCAGTTAAACTGGTCGAACTTCTGGTTTGCTGGGTTGATCTGAAACTCCTGGAGTGCCATTTTAAGTTTAGGAATGATATAGCGCACTATCAAGTCTTCCCAACTTGATGGATCAAATACACCCTTCCATAGAGATAGCAAAGCGCAGGCTGATGCATCGTGAGCTTGCCAAACATGGAGGACAGTACTCAGCTTGTACCGAATAGAGTGACACAAGGTCTCTATCCTTCGTCCTAGAGTCGGCAACCATGGGTGTACCCATACATGAATCGGTGGTACATTCTCCCTACGTGGATCCCAGGATTCAACAGCAGCTGTGAGCTTTGGCATGATTACATGCTCTAATATTGAATGGAGCACAATAGGGGGCAATAACCGCTCCCATGACTCAAGAAAGCAGAGCATTGGTTCTGGATCCCTAGCCTCCCATGAGTTAGTTCCTGATATCCTCACAGCTGGCAGGATCACCTCACTAACCAGCTGTACATATGGAGCCATTGATTCAGTAGCATCTGAGAAATCATATGGCTGGTCACACTGCAGCAAATCCTTCCATGATGACATGACTTCCAAGCCAAACAACAGATTTTGCAGAGGCTGCCACCCCTGGAAGACCCGGATCAGTAACTGATGAGCAAATCGGCAAGCAATCCATGCAATGCTGCACATTTTGAACTCCTCCCCATGACGCAGCTTCAATTCCTGGAAGGTCTTGAGCAACCCTCGCAGCATGAGCAAACCAGCTGTATCGTCCACCCAGACTTGCTCCAGCACACCTGCAAACGTCTCCATAACCCGCAGCTGGTGTTTCTGCAACGCCTCCTGCTTTGCTACTTTCTCCTTCTCCCGCACAAAACTAGCCACCCTCTCCTGCTCCTGTCGCAGCTGCCCCTCCAACCTGATGATATCAGCCTTGGTCTCGTCAACAAGCGCCCGCACATTGTACTGCAACTCTGGCATTGGCACATCATTCGCCTCTATCTCCTGTTCATCACTGAGCCCCTTCAAGTCTGTCAGCACACGAACCTGAGGCCCTCGCATGTCAATCACCAGTGGCGGAGCCAGGGGGG